AAAGCTACCAGTTCTACACAAATATAAGTATATTATTTTTTATTAAGGCAAAATATGGCAAGTATTATATTACATAATGTCCCTTGCTATTGTAAATGTTCTGAGCCCAAGTCAATAGTGGTGTTTGTATTTAAAAAGAATATTACATTTCTTTTGTGCTTTAAAAAATGAACTGGAATTACCATATAAAAAAAAAAAAAAGCACAAATTCTAAGCCAGTATTAACTAAAATTGTATACTATTCTTTTTTTAAAAAGTTTTTTACTACCACTTTATGTTATGTCCTCACTGGTAAATTTTTAAAAGCTTGTTATTTCTTTAACCAACTGTCATTACACCTCATTAGAAAAGATTTATATTCATAATTCTGGTGCACTTATTGTTTAACATAGGAACTACTTTGTAAATAAAATTGATTTGCAGAGGAAAAATGAAATTAACACTGATTAAAGCCATTCCTAATGTTCATAACAATATTTATTGACTGAGCTTAATTAAGCTAAATGTAAATTATTCTAAAAGGCAAGGTTATTCATAGGATATTTCATTAAAGGCACAAGACTTTTCCTTTCTTTTACATAGAAGATTTCCTAATTCACTGTGATATTTATGATTGCCAAGAAAATTACAATGCCTTTCTGAAGCCTTTTGAATGTATTTTTTGTTGCAGCACCAAAATCTAGAGTTGGCTGCTATAGTATTTTCCGGCTAGTGCTTGCTGTAGAATTATTTTAAATGCTGTTGCAACCTCACACAATCCTCACATGCTACCTCCCCAGTCTTTCTGCTCCTGTAGGTAAACAAATACTGCTTTGCAGCTCATTAGTTTTCATCAAGGTAGCATAAATAAGGCTTCCATGTTAAAATCCCTGCAGTGTTTTAGTATATCCTTTTTTGGAGACTAAGCTTATACCTTATAAAGTATCTCCTTCTGTTTCCTTGGGTCCAGCACTTTGCAAAACAGTAAGGTATTTGGAGTTCTTTCCCCCTCCTCTTAAGCTCTCAACCTTCTGACTACAAGGTTTGGTTTAAACCTCAGAATCTTAAAAAATAGCAGGCAGGCTATTCTCTTTTAACAGTTGGCTGAATCAAGAACCAGTTATAAATCTAAATAGAAGAAACATTGCACAGACTTTTAGTAATTTTCCTAATTACACAGAAACTCGTGTATGATTGCACTAGCTATTGGCTTAACCCCATGGAGGGTGGTTGTTTTTTTTTCCAGATAGAGTGGGAGGGAGAGAGAGGAAGAGAGAGACAGAGAAACGTCGATGTGAAAGGGACACATCGAGTGGCTGCCTCCCACACGACCCAACCAGGGCTTGAAAAATGTAAAACACAGCCTTTTGAGGAAGCTATCAGATTACAAAACCCCCTCACCATAAGTTGTTTTAAATGTGGAATCGTATTACATTTCCTTTCCCCCTTATCAATCCTCATAACTTACTAAAGCTGATCAATTATTTATTTAAGCTTGCTCATTCAGTGTGAACCAAGAAACCTAATTATATATATTCTGTTGTGAAGCTACTTTGAAAATATCTCATAGCTAATTTTTTAGAGGAAAAAAAATGATATATTGGGTGCATTCTATAAATGAGGAGATAGTATAAATAGTATTTAGATTCTAAGAATACTATATTTATTACACTGATTGATACATGTGCTTCGATCAAACCCTTTTCAAGTATGTCCTTTTATTCATAAGGAGAAGAAAGACGATTAGTTATAAAGTTAAGACAAAAAGGATTCTGAAAGTAACCTAGATAAGAGATGCCAGGTTGAACTAGGGAAAGGCTGGCATTCTTAGTGCATGTCCCCAACCAGTGTTCCTCCTTTATCTGTGGCCGCTGTAAATGCAGAGGGACCACCAGAATCCTAGAAAAATGAGATTGATTATTTTTGGGATCATTCCACATTTCTGGTCTTTACTCCCACCTTTTTTCCCCGGTTCCGTAATGTACCCAGTATACTCCTATATAATCTGTTGCTCAAAATACTTAATTCTTTCTTCAATCAAATGCAGTTGATTTTTTGAGTATGTAGTGGCATTTCTTAAAATGAGATCATCAGAGCAACCTTTAATATAAAGATGTAATGAAACAACTAAGTGAAGAACACAACATTAAAGTGTTTTGTTAGCCAAATGTATATTTTATATATCCAGAAATAGGAAAAGCCAAGTATTAGTAATTTAGTTAAAATGTAAATGTTATCACAGCATATGTTGATATGTCTTGGAGTGTGCTTTCATTGTACTGTTTTTGAAGTTTGAGATACAGTGTAGTCAAATGTAATCACTGGGATTTCCAGAAGTAAATCCTATTTCTCTTATTGTACTGTACACTCCTTGCAGGCAGATGCTATGTCTAATGTATCGATTTCTCACAAAATACCTGTCCTATGCCTTTTCAAAGATAATATTTGTTAAATATTGTTTGAATATTTGTTTCTTCTACAAGTGAGGACAAGATTCTTGTCATCTACATCTCAACTACAGCCCCCAAAATGCCCTCTTTATAACTCAGATCTTAGACCTACACATTCCACCATCCTGCAAGGCCACATTTGCAACTGCCTGTTGGACATCTACACAAGAGTCCTTCTTAAACATTTTAAACTTTACATCACTAAAACTCAATTCACTTTCTTTTCATTCAAATCTCTTTATTTTCTTCTGTAATGGAAAAACATCATTCTAGGCTCCAGAATCTGACTCCAAGTCTCAACAAGGCCCTCTGCAATTGCTCTTGTATCCTTTCCATCTTCATTGCTCTTGTATTGTTGCATAGACCCTGGCTCAAGTCTTTGTTACCTCTTCCCAACAATTGGAATAACTTTTCTTCTAATTCCAGTGTCTTCCGTGCATGGTCCCAGTTTAAACACTGCCAAAACCATCTTCTAAAGCATAGCTCTAGTTTCATGCCTGATTTTCAACTTCCATTGGCTTCCCAGTGGCTTGGCATAGAACACTTTTCATCAAGTATCATATATTCCAGCTAACTACAACCCAACCTTTCTCTGTTCACTGTTTTTTGTTTTCTCATTATCTCCTCCACCCCCATTTCTGTCTATTTATCCAAGACTTCTCTGTGAAGTTGATCCTAGTCCTTCTTTTCCCTATTCCTTCTCCCCTGTGTCATCAGACTAGATCTAGGTTTTTCTTCCGTTATGTTCCCATAGCCCTTAGCTTGTAAACAAACTTTCTTACGGTATTTATCACATTCTGTCCTTGAGAACAGCAACTGTATCTTTTTCATTTGAGATTCCACCTCAGCATCTGGCAGAGTGCCTTGTATGCAGGGGATAGTCAGGAGCCTATGCCACTTTTAAAGTTATTCTCTAAAGGAAAATCTCACCTACAACTTTTCCCCCCTTAAGAGATAATTTCTAGTTTTTTTTTTATTTTTTAAGATAAAGGTGGTAGTAAATTTTTTAAAAACATCAATACGTCAAATTCCCTTTTTTTTTTTTTTTTGCTGGGGGCAGAGTTTTGAAGGGGGCAGGCTTTTTAAAATATATATATATATATATATATTTGTCTTAGCATCTTAAAAACCAATCTTGAAATGTTATTTTTTAAAATGACTTATGAATTTCTAGAAACACTTTTTACTTAAAGTGATAATAGTCTGTATCTTATTGTCAATATAGAGATATAGATCCTTTATAAATCAAATGTTAGCATTGTAAATAATGTTAATATGTATTATATTTATACAAAATAAATTTATCTACTTTTGGTGTGATGATGTCTTTTTAAAGCATAATTTTTATATTATTTTTCTTTTGTTCTCTTTAAACCTTAGTTTTTTCAGAGTCACATTTAAAGATGAATCACACTGTCCTGTTTTCCTGAAGCATAATTAGGGGATGTTGTTCTTCACCCACAAATGATATTCCCCAAATGGCTTCTACTTCCACATTGAAAAAAGTCAACTTATTATAACTTAAATGAATTAATTGGATGATAAGGGGTAACCACAAGCATCTCACTATAAGCACTCATATTATGCACTGAGAATAGAGGAAAGTCTCAGATTGCCTTTGAATGTTTTCTTAGCTTTCAACTTTTTGTTTTTGTTTTTTGTTGTTAATCCTCACCAAGGATATTTTTCCATTGATTTTTAGCTAGAGAGGAAGGGAGAGAGTGAAACATTGATGGGCTGCCTCCTGCAGGCTCCCTATGGGAGATTGGGCCTGAAACCCTGGCATGTGTCCTTGACCAGGAATCAAACCTCCTGGTGCACAGGATAACACCCAACCAGCTGAGCCACAAGAGCCAAACCATAGCAGGTACTCTGCACACAGGACAGCTCTTCCCGCCACATCCTGCTGCCACAGGCGGTCACTGTCGGAATGTGATGTTCCATCAGTACCTCTTCATTTCACAAGTTTTTGTTGACCATCAGGCACTGTCCTATAGGCTTGGGAATACACGGATGAACAAATCAGACAAACACCAGCCTTCTAGAATCTTACATCCTAAGTGATTATATCCTTACACCATTTGGCAATTATAATTATTTACTCTCAAGAGCTGATAAGTAAAACTTTGCCTTACTGTACAGGATTCTACCCGTTTGTGGTATCATTGAAGGGAATTTTAAATACCGTACTGAGATCTACCCAGACTTACGTTAGAGTACAAGAGCCTATAACAGAGTCCAGTTTCCCACAAGTTAGAAGTAGAACTGTCTAAAATTGATGAGATTATTTCATTACTCCAACCTGACACGTTGTTTCAAACCTTGAACTGCTTTTGGGTGTACAAGTCCCCGACCTGGACGCACAGCGATGGTGGGGCAGTCTCCCTCCTCGCCGCTAGGGGGCAGTGGATTTCGAGAGGCTAGGTTCTTTCATCCCTCCACCCAGGGAACGTCACGACCTCTCGCCTGTTCGCCACACGACTCGCGCAAGCGCGGACGGGATCGCGTACCACGGAGCAGAGAGTGAGGTCACGAACTCTGACCCCCCCCCAAATACACAAACTCAGAAAGCTCCCTGCCCCCACTTTTCTTTCCTTCCCCTTTTATCCTTTTCCAAGCTGTCTCCACCCGGTGCCCCCCTGTAGCCGCCGCAGCGGGACCGGCCGGACCACGCCCGGTGCAGGACGTAGCTCGGCGGAGAAGCCGGTAAGAAGTGTCGGGTGTGGGGAAAAGGGGGGCGGGGGGATCCTCTTCTCCCAACTGCCACCCGGCGCACCCCCAGAGTCCCGTAACAGCCTGCCGACTTCAGCCGGTGGGACTGGCCCGCCTGGCAGTTCCGCGGCGGGTGGCTCGGGTTGGGCCGGGAGTGCGGAGAGTGGCCGGAGTGGCGGGGCCGAGCGCGCGGGGCTCCGAGAAAGGCCGCGGCCGGAGCTGGGGCCGGGAGCCCTGGGGTCCGGGGTCCGGAGCCCGGAGCGGCGCCGAGCCGGGGCTCTGGAGGGAGTCCGCGAGCGGCTCGGCGCGCACGGCAGCGTCTCCCGTGGTGCCTCTGACCTTTCAACTACAGGAAAAGCTTCCGTCTGGGCGCCGCTGCCACTTCCCCCGCCTCTGGGAGCCGCGCACCCTGGGGCTGGTGGCCGGTGGGACTCGGACAGGCCGGCCCTCGCCCCGGGTAGCCCGAGCCGAGGCCTGGGTCGCTTTCACTGAGGGCCCCTTACTGGTTCTCCTGCTTACACGGGAGGGACGGAGTAACGCCCTCCGCTTGCACAACAAGTGGGCGCGAGTAGCCGCTGCCTTCGGAGAGAAATCAAATGGAACGACCCAGGTGCTCGCTGCGCTTCGGCATGGCCAAGCTTCCACCAGCCCTTTTGTTAAGACACTCTGCCTTCAGCTTCTGCAGATAGCGTTTTATGAATTGCAGATGTTGCCAGGTTGTCTTCACTAAGTAGGTCAGTCTGTTTAAAAAGAAATAACTGGAAAGGAAAGGCAAAATGAATCGAAAGTAAGGCCTTTAGAATTTTTGTGCCTCTGAAGTTGTAAGTAGGCCTTCGTCTTTGAGGTTTTTGAACAATACTGTGTGGTGCTTTGGTTGGTATATGCTGGTTTTTTTTCTTTTTTAAATTTTTGCTTATATGTGCTGTTGGGAGATTTAAAAGGTATTTCTATTTTTATAAAAATTTTTTAAAAGGATCACATAAAACGTAACGAATGCCATCATTCCTTGCAGGGGTATTTCAGTATTCTTTAGGAAGGATTTTGAGGGCGACACAAATCAAAGTCAGCAAACATTCCCAAAATACTGTGTGCACACACACAGTGTAATTCCTACCCTTGGGGAATAGAAAACACAAAAGGAAAAAAAGCATGGGCTGAAGAATTAACAGTATAAATGTAATTATTGACCGTTTTTTTTCATTATAGGACCTTCTGCAACCGCAAAATATTTTATGAAAGTCATAGACTGACCTTCCAGAAAAATGCACCGTTACATAAAAATTTTGTATGAAATATTAGAAGTTTACAGAAGTCTGGATCCTAGTTACCAACTTAGTATTCACTGTAAATGCTGGACCCACCTAGAAAGATTGGATTAAAAACACATTTGAACTGAATCTTAAAGGTCAGATGGAATTTAAATGAGGAGGAGGAGCTTGGAATGGTTTATTAGGAGAGAGACCCTCTCTTGAGAGTGATAGCAGATAAAATCAGAGGAAGAAGTCAGACTATCAAGGAACTCTCCTTTGTGTCCACAGTGCCGGGCATGTTATAGGGGCTTAGTAAATATTGAAATAAAGACCAGAACGGCTGAAACTTGATTCTCTGACCATTAACGAGACACTGATGGTTCTGAAGCAGGAAACAAAGGATGTGGTTTAGTTCTGTAAGCATCCTGAGATATTGCTGCTTGTCAAAGTTGCTGACAAAAAGATGGTTTTTGCCTTTTGGGGACTTAAAATAGATGTAAAGATGGTTCTTGCCTTCTATGGACTATCATATACACAGATTAATTCTACGTTCAGGAAACTCAATTCTGGCAGTAGCTGGAATTTTACCCAAAAGGTTCTTAACTTGAAGGCCTAGAACTGGCCACAGGAGGTTTTATACACCCCTTGAAATACAGCATATACGTACCATCATTTATAGTGTAAATGAATGTGAACTTGTGTTTTCTGGTGAGGGAAATCTCAACTTCCATCAGATTTTCAGAGATGTTTGATCCACCCCACCAGGGGGAAAAATGAGAAACACTGTTTTATATCTTATTTTCAAAAAATTTTAACTACACAGCACAGGAAGAAGTACGTTTTTTTTGCATCATGACTCAGCGCACACACACAAACAGATTAAAGTGAAATCAAGTCTTTGGCAGACTGACTATTCTTACTCTCACTATACCTGATGCACTAATTTCTATTCTATTTTTCTTTTATTTTAAAAATAAGATACTCAGACTTAAATTAATTTACCCATCCATATGTGGCTCACAACACAAAGTTTGCAAAATCTGCTGTGAATGACAACAGCCTACATTCAGTTGATGGGAGTGGGACTAGAGGGGAAAGAATGCCGGGAGAGCAGAAGTTGGGAAAAGAAAATGATCTGTATCTGATGTAATCAAAGAGCACAGACTTAAAGTTTTGTTTTGTTTTGTTTTTTTTTTATCCTCACCCGAGGACATTTTTCCATTTTTTGTTCAGGTAGAGTAGGAGGGGGAGAGAGGAACAGAGAGAGAGAGAAACATCGACGTGAAGGGACACATCGAGTGGCTGCCACCCGCACGACTGACCAGAGCCGGGGACACACTGCAACCGAGGTACATGCCCTTAGCGGGAACCGAACCCAGGTCTCTCGGGACCGCAGGCCGACGCTCTAACCGCTGAGCCAGACCGGCCAGGGCCAGACTTAAAGTTTTGAATCTGAATGGAAGGATGGCACCACTGATACTATTTTCTGTGGGGAAGGTACATAGAGTTGGGATCACAGTAAATGTTAAAAAAAAAATCAGGGCCAGAAATAAAAAAGAACTGTGTGTCTTCTGTGTGTTTATTAGTGTAGAGTAATAAAGGCAACATCCTCATGCTTTTTGCTTTGTCCCTCAGGCTGATAAAAATACTTATCCTTCAATGCCTACTTCAGATGTCTCTTCTGTAAGGTTTTTTCAGACCCTCTCTCTCCAGTGTGGTGGTGTTCTAAGCTCCTCTTGCTCATGAGCATTTTGTTCATTCGACTAACTTTCAGGGACTACTTTCTAAGAGACTGTTAGCCATTGATAAACATCCTTTCACTAATGTTGAATTTTTACAACAATTTTTTGAAGAAGATTTTATTGAATCCATTTCATTTATGAGGAAACAGCCTCAAGTTAAATGATATGTAGTCATTTGGTAACTAGTAAAAATGAGATTGGAACTTTGATTTGACGAGGTCCAGGACACTCTACTACCAATATAAACCCTCTCCCTCTAATTTCTTTTTCTCTTTATTACTGTCTTCTAGGTTGCTTCGTGGCATTTAATACATGGTAATTTTGAAAAATCATTAAGAGACAAGCTCCATGGGGCAGAGGTCTTTATTGTTTACTGTCAAGTCCTAAAATCTCACAGTGCCTGATATTGTTTCAGTAAATACTTACTGAGTTCAGATATGAATACTAGGCACTGTTAAATACTAGAGGTTCATTGCAAAAAACAATGAGTTAATTGAAAAATTACAGTGCTTATCCTTGGAAGTCTGTTGGAGATAGCCATCTGTGCAAATAAGGGCAGGTGCTTTATTTATTTTTTTTGGTACATGCCCTTAGTGGGAACCGAACCCGGGACTCTCTGGTCCACAGGCCGATGCTCCAACCGCTGAACCAAACCGGCCAGGACAGGGCAGGTACTTTAGGAAATAAATGGGCACAAGATACAGTGGGCCACAGATGCTTGCTTTTCTGATTACAGTAGTTGATATTCAAAAGGCATAAAGAAGAAAATAAGTGGCCTGTAAATCTCCACCTAGGAAAGTCACCATTAACATTTGAGAATGTTTATTTTTAGTCCTTGTGTGTTTTATATAGATAAAATCGATTGTAAATAAAAATTTTATTTCTTGATCTTTGCATTTAGTTTGTCATAATCATTTTTTTCTTCATCATTAAACATTTTTCTGATACATGATTTAATTTTTTTTCTTTATTGATTTTTAGAGAGAGAGGAAGGGGGAGAGAGAAAAAGAGAAACATATATGAGAGAGAACATCGACTGGCCACCTCCTGCATGTCCCTCTTGGTACATGGGTCGATGCTCAACCACTGAGCTGCACTGGCTGGGACTGATACATGATTTTAATGGGAATATTTTTTGCACAAATATTTGCCCTTTGTGTTTGTTAAAATGTCACCTCAATAAGGCCATCTCTGATCTTTTATTAAAAATTGCAACTCTCGCCCTGGCCAGTTTGGCTCAGCGGTTAGAGCATCGGCCTGCGGTCCGGAGAGACCCGGGTTCGGTTCCCGCTAAGGGCACGTACTTCGGTTGTAGTTTGTCCCCGGCCCTGGTTGGTCGTGCGGTGGCAGCCACTCGATGTGTCCCTTTCACATCGATGTTTCTATCTCTTCCTCTCTCTTTCTCCCTCCCACTCTATCTGTACAAAAAATGGAAAAATGTCCTCGGGTGAGGATAAAAAAAAAAAAATTGCAACTCTCTTACCTGGGCCTATTCAGTGTTTAGAGCACTGGCCTGTGGACCAAAGAGTCACAGGTTCCATTCCGGTCAAGGGCACATAATCTCGATTGCAGTTCAATCCCTGGCCCTGGTTGGGGTCATGAGGGAGGCAGCCAATTGATGTGTCTCTCTCTCACCCTCCTTTCCTCCCTCTCTCCCTCCCACTATATCTGAAAATCAATGGAAAAATAACCTCGGGTGAAAATTTAAAAATAATAATAATGAAAATTGCAACTCTCCTTATAGACACAGACAACAGGGGTACAGGGGGTAGTAAAGGGTAGAGGGAGCCAAATATGGTGACAGAGGATGATTTGACTGGGTGGTGGGCACACAGTGCAATATACTGATCAGATATTATAGTAATCTGCACCAAAACCTATATAATCTTATTAACCAATGTCGCCCCAATAAATTTAGCTAAAAAATTACAGCCCCCGCTTGAGTAATTTCTGTCACTAGTTCCCACTCTATTTTTCTCCATTCCACTTTACACCATTTATT